GTTTATGTTTAAACAATAATATATGATTACCTCTTGTAATTCATACACATATATATGATTTTATTTCATAACATTTTATATCAAAGTTAAGCGTTAGACCAGCGAGAGTTTTGCAAACGTTTTGAGTATTGAATATAAAGATTCATTAACCTCTTGAAGTTGTTTTAAAGGTAAAATCCAGTATCAAAATATATATGAATCATTAAGATCTTGTTAAAATATTAGATAAAGCCCAATATCTCATTTTTCTTTAATTCTAGATTGCATATAACATCCAATCCTTTCTCCACCAATTAATCATTATCTCAAAAATATATAATATGAAAGCATTACAAATAATGTGAATCGACCCAATAACCTACTTTGCTACTACTTCCTCTAACATCATGACTATTTAAAATGTGGTCCAGTACCACATTATTAACTCATCAACCAAACAAGATTTGCTTATCAATTATATGCTCCGTATATTTAGCTATCTTATGAAAAGTTTTTGACCTTAACAAATTTACAAAAGCTAAATGGTCATAAAATAAGATATCCATCAAGCAACTAGAGTATTATAGATGAAACGAATTCTTGTTATATATATATATATATAAATATATATATATGTAATATATATATATATATGTAATATATAGACAGATCTAGAGATCATAGATCTAAACCATTTTCATGAGACAACCATCACAATCTTCCCATACCAATATTATTAAATTATACAAAAGTAATAGATCCCATTTCAAAAACAGATTTATAAGTAATATATTCAGAAACATCGATTAGACCCGTATAAAGAAATTAGGGTTTTTCCAACAATGAATCAAACTAACAAAACTTATTTAGAGATCGGAATCTTGAATCTACTTACCTATAAAGTTGATAGTCATAACAATAACAAAGAGAATAAAACAAAAACACGTAAATGAAAGATCTGTGATAAGATCTGATTAATAGAGTCATGCGTGCATATATGAAAGAAATTTAGAAAATTCTTTGACTCTGTCCGTATCTTCCCACAGCTTTATTGAACCGCAAATCAATCGAGCAGAGATGTGAACAAAAACACTATTTTATGCGTAAGACATATATATAAAAAAAACAAATCTGAAGAAGTTTTGCAGTTCAAGAAAGCTGTGGAAGAATACAGAGAGGGTCACGTAGAGTAGACGAAACCCTAATTGAGGAAGAGGGAGAGAGGGGCAAAACGGTAATTTGGAGAAATAGAGAAGTTGAAGTTGTGAGAAGGAAGATACTCGATAGAAAGATATTTATAGGAGACAAGGGAAGAGAAGGGTCATTCTTTTACAGCACCAATCCCGAGGAGAATATTGGCCCTTTTTTTTCTGCTTTAACAAATATTTGTATTCATAAGTAATTTAATATTTATTTATTTTTTAGTTACATTTGCATGTGTGGTATTTGTCTAGTCCGAGTCAGTTTTTCATAATATGGTTTTATTCGATATTATGTGAAATAATATAATGTAATGACATATAATAATTCATAGAAAAAGAAAATCCTTGCCATGTAATTAATAATGTAGTTGATGACACCTCTAACAATTATAAATATTTTAAATTCAAAATATCATTTCTAATCTCAAACAGACTAGTTAATTTTTTTAGTGCATTATTAATTATAATATTTAAAAACATATTTGATGTAAATGAAATAAATATATATTATTCAAATAAGAAAGATGACTAGATAGTAAATACAATAATTAACATAATATGTTTTCTTTAAAAAAAAAAAAACAGAATATTTTTTTAATCAATGGCCATGGATGAATTAACTGGTACTCCCACTATTCCAAAATATAGGATGTTTAAGTTAAAAGCACACATTTTAAAAAAATTAATTTTCTCATAAAAACAATCATTTAATATTTAATTTTAAAAAATCTAACCAATGATATAAAAGACTTCAGAATACAAATGGTCATAAAACATCAAATGTATTTAAAAGTTCATTAGAAATTTGTGAAACATCTTATATTTTGAAACAAAAAAAAATCTTCAAAACATCCTATTTTTTTTAATAGAGGGAGTAGTATTTTTTTTTTTTTTTGAAAGTTTGTACTCAAATTACTAGTTAATGTATAATACATACCAAATACTCCTATTGTACAAGAATAATTAATATTGGTTCGATTATGAAATCAAATAACTAGGGAATCAGCAAAATAAATGAAATATATTGTTATGACAATGACTGTAAAGAAAAATCGTCAATACAGATATTTGTGTTGAAGATTACAACTAATCAGACAATTGGGTGGAGGAAATTTGCTTCTTTTGGTCTCATGACCACTATATTCACAAGTGCTTCTTGTAATCAGGTAACATGACTTCCCCAACACAAGTGTCAATTACCCAAACAAAAGGTGACTTTATCCATCTAGTTTTTCTCTTTGCACAAAAAAAAAAAAAAAAAAAAAAAAAAAAAAAAAAAAAAAATCCATCGTTTTTCTACGTTTTGTAGAGTTGATCTTAAACTCCCCTCGAGAGTCCCTAGAAACGGAACGGTAACGCTAAGAAATTAAACAAAATAATTCGCCTAGTATTTAGACACTAGAGATTTGTAATTAGACACTAGAGCTTTGTCCCCCAGATATTAATCGTTCTTGTTTTCACTAATGTCGAAAAGAAGATGGTGTCTTTGCTATTGATCCTTGGTTTTTCTGGTAGTCCCATGTCCAAGCTTTTAATCTTCATAATCTTTCCCACTGTATCCCGGCATTCATCTTTGCCAAAACACCTTGTATTGTTCTAGGTGTGTTTCTTTGTGGTTGCTAGTAAGTAGTGGGTGTACTTCGTATGCTATGAGATTTTGACATTTTAGAAAATAATATGATTTTTGAATTGTCTTGTTTTTCAAATTGATTTTGTGATTTTGTTTCATGAAGAGTAGTCACTCACTTTGCAGATGGCATTTTTAGGACATATTGTTTGGTCAAAATTCTATCCTTTTATAGAAAAAATAAACTTTTCCCTGATACAAGTTATGAATCGTATACATATGTGCTTTTTTTTTGCTGGTAGGGTAAATTGGTACATAGTTTCTGAAATGAATAATATAGGCAATCACAAAACTATAAACATGAGAAATCATGTCAGGATTATCTTAATTAATTCATTAAAAATAAATATTACCTTAGAAATATTTTTAGTTTGGTTTCTCATATATTTCTTAATAAATATTACCATTCAATTTTACTCTTAAATAAAGAAATTCTTCAAGCAAATGAATTATTAAATAAAACAAAAAAAACATTTATAAATATTTTTTGTTTTATTATGCATCTTATCATATTCAAACTTAGATAGTAATACGATAATAACATTAGTATGAAATAATGAATTAGTATTTATGTCTTGATTAAAAACATTTTAAAAAGTTTATCGACCAAAATTTGTTATAAGCGATGTTAATGTTTACAGTACTAAAGAAAAAGAAAATGTTGGGACGAGAAAAAAGAGAACATGGAGGCATGTGGGTGGTGGGGACAGTGTAGTAGGAAAAGAAGGTTACAGCCCGTCTTTGCCGGGACGGAGGTCTCTTTGTCTACCCTTCTTCTCCGGACTCTCTCATTATTCTATTATTATTTTATTATGTTTTGGCTTTTCACAAAAAGTTAAGTGATCTTTGCTTGGATCGATTATTTACGATCACAAAGCTTCAAGCTTGTTGTATCTCGTAGACTTTTCTATGCATCTGAGTTTTCATGCTTTAGGGGCTATTTTAAAATATCCAATAATGCTTGAATTTTGCAACATAAACCTTTTTACATAGGTTGAACAAGTACCCAAAAAAATATATATTCCCTCTGTTCCTAATAGTTTGATGTTTTGGAGTTTCCACACATATTAAGAATTCAATCATTATTTAATCATTTTCACATTGTTTTTAATCAAAAATAATTTTAATAATTATCAACCAATAGTAGTCTAAAAAAGTTAATGATTTATAATCATTGTACCTTGAAGTTTACAATATATATTATTATAAGTCAATAAAAATAAAATAAAAATGTTAGAAAATCAATCTTTGTGGAACAAACAACAAAGCTAAAACATCAATTTTTAAGGAACAGAGGGAGTATATCTTTTTATATAGTTTGAATAATATTCCAAACTAAGAATCTAGATTTTAATTTTCTCAAAACCCGTTCTTCTAGAAAAGAAACATGCTCATGTATACTATCTGAGAAAAACGTATAAACTGATTCAAAATATTAATGTATTAGTTATATTAGACCTAAAAAAAAAAACAAAAGAAAAAAAAGACTATATAAATAACTAAATTTCTTTTCGTGAAATCTTATTTTACCTATGTGATGAATCTACACGTTGACATCATAATCTGATAGAATTTAGATGAAAAAGATCTCGGCATAAATATTTTGATGAATTAGCTAGCTTAAAACTCTAAATGAATCATATATATGAAAGAAGGCTATCTCTCTCCATCTGCTTGCCACGTCAGCACCTATATGACTGCCATGTGTACTTGAAAAAAAAAAACAAGATATCGACATAAAAAATGCTTTAAATTTGATATATTAGCATTTATTTCATGTGTTGTGTTTTGATGATTACGCTCCCTCTTCCATTTTACTACGTGACTAAGCGTTATACTTAGGTTAAAAACGCAGAATTAAAAACATTGTTTCGTCTCCCTCAAAACAAGTGCTCGTGGTATGTTCTTGGCCTCCGCCTTCACCCTTCACTTACATAGGGTGCCGTTACTCCGGCTGAGGCTACTTGCCCTCAGTGCCGTGCCTACAACTGGAGAGGCCTATGGCAAAAAATTTAAATGTGGCCTATAAATTATTATTAGAAAAACTAATAATGAAAATATAATCTAAGGTTTTTGTAATGGTTAAATAAAACTATATTATATATGTAGAAATTTCTATATTGTCAAAAAAAGTTGGTCCTATTAGAAAATGTTAGCAGTGTCACGACTCGAACTCACGGCAATACTATTTGATGATAAAAACAAACCATTGGACTGAAAAGCAAAAGCAAGATGTAGCCTAAAAATTAGTAGATAACATGTGGCCTTAGGCGGTTGCCTTTTTTCCAAAGGAGTAGGCATGGCACTGCTTGCCCTATTTCCAATTATCAAGGTATAAAAGAAAACAAAATTCGATAACGGTTTGGTTTTAATCTATTTTGGTTTTGGATTGTGAAAGTGGGATTTGGTGAATTGGTGGTTGCCTCCGATGAAACTGTCACGTTTCTGGTGAGTGGTGATAATATATATATACCAACTATATACGCCTTGCCATAAATATTTTTTTCAGTGATGGAGCTCCACTTATTTAGTTGTTTTGCAGCTGTTGCATCCGGAAAAACTGCTACATCTATGTATCACAAAATCAAAGAAGCTGATCAAGGTTTGGTTCCGTTTTTCTCTTGACTCTTCACTGATAACAAAATTAACCGATGGCCCGATGATCGATGCTTCGTTTCTTGGTCATGGATTTGGGAGCGTTTTATTTGTTCCACAGTTTTGCAAATGGAGTACTTTACAGAGGACTATTTTCAGGCATCAATCTTATTTCAGTTTTCTCTTGTGTTTTTTTTTTTGGGATAAATGTTAATATAGCTGCAATTAAAGAAACTTTTTGGCTTTTACAAAGGACTGTTTTTTGTTTTAAATCAAAATGAAAATCCAAAACAGAGTTAAAGAGCTTAACAATGTGAAGCAGGTTTTTACGAAGGGAAGCCTTATATATAGGATTGAAACAAATGGAGCAATGAGAGATACAATTTGGAGCCATGATGAATCATCACTGTCGAGGTAGAGATGGAGATAACACAAGCGTGAATAGTTTGATCTGCGAATTAACGCATCAACTGGGCGAGATTCAGATTGGTGTAATCTTTCATTCCATAGTTTATAAATGGTTTGCAAGAGGATTGTTTTCTTAATGTTGATATCTTAACAATCATTAACTGAACTTTTAGATTCAGCTCTTTGTTTTGCAGCCACTAGAATAATTGAAAGTATATTCAGTTCATAGCCACAACTTGAGATATGTTAGTAAATCTTCTTCTCTTATTATCCTCTATGTTCTGAGCATATAACATAATGATGGGAAAAGACACTCCCAAGAATTAACGTCTATGGTTCCTTAAATTTCCTATATGTCACATGGTGAATAATGTTTGATCCCTTTCTAAATGCGTTTAATTGTTTTGTCTTTCTTTTTTAAAGTCTAGAAAACTAGATCATTGTACAATAAGTTGGACACAAGCTTTCGATGCATTGTAGCTAACAATTTTTTTCTTCTCTGTTAATTTTTCTCGTGCAATCATGAACATTACATGAGGAAGTTTACGGAGACTGTGTGGAGATCGAAACAGACATGGAAGATGATATTTGAGTAAAGAGTCGTTGGAGATAACTAATAAAGCGTAGTATTTTTTGTCGTCAGTAGCCTCTTACAACGTCATTTCCTATGGGGATCTCAATGGTTAAAGTAAAAAAAGCAGGGGATTCGGATCTTTTAGGATCTAGACTGTTTTCCATGTACGCGCTGTTAGAAGTTAAGCAAAAGAGATGTTAGTAGATATGGAGAGAGTAATTATAGAGGGAACTTGAAATACAATGTCATGTTTTAAAATTATCTCTCGCCTCTTTATAAGAAATAATAAAATTGCCTTGGGAAATTTGTTTAAACGTTAAAAAATGGGAAGACCAAAAACAAAAGGAAAATGAAAGAGGAGAAACATGAAAGTGTGTTGGAGGGAGAAGGAAGACAGAAAGAGTAAAGAAGAATTGCTGGAAAAAATATAACTCATTGTATCTTTCGAAATAGTTAGACTTTGTGCGGCCTTGAGCATTTGAAAATGCAAAAAAAGAGGAGTTGTTACCATTTCGTCTTTTGAGCTTTTATGTGTAGCTGAATCATGTTGATGTAGTAAATTGTATTATCCATTTTGGTTACTTTGCTTACCCAAAAAAAAGATTGTGCTGATCGTATTCTTATATGGATTGATGCAGATGATGGTCACGTACTTACCCTGACGATTTCTAAGCCTTAACTATGAAATTTTCTGTTTGTATAGGTTTGATATCAACTTCATCTTCTAAGAATCGTTATTCATGCTTTAGATTTGTTCCTTTACACTGTTTTCCCCATTGATACTATTTGTAGTGTTTTTCCTTGTATCAGTCTTTTGTACATACGGGTGTCCACATTAAAATACTCTCTGATTTTATGGTTAGAAGGTTAATGAGCAGAGTAACATTGATTGAAGAGAATTATACAATTTTCTTGCAAGATAATAACAATGCAAATTAACTATATGTAAACTCCTCAATATTTAAACTTGAGGAAAAAACACCTTTCAAGATGTAAGAGACAATAACTAAAATAGGTTTTCCTAAAACATCAACTTGTTAAAATGCAGAGATAAGTTTAAAGAATGCAAAGTTATTTTTTTAAAAATGGCGTGTAAAATAGAGATTGTCGAACTTCTTACATGTTCAAAGTTATATGCATATAGAATTTGGAATCAAAGAACTACAAACTCTTTGCATATAATTAGCAAGGTGTTGCTTACCTGAATAGCTAGATATTCAGGGGGTGGAACCAAAGCTCACTAGGATTCTTGTGAAATATGGATCTTTGATCATTAATTGTACTCATTAGAGGAAATTTTGTTTTGAGTATAATGTTAGTTTTCTTCATTGCTGATAATTCTAAAGTTTATGAACATCATATTAACTAGTGCTTTTCTTTTTTCGACAGTTATGTCAAACCCTCAAAGTTATTATTCATTTGGAGATGTCTTTGAGAAGGACATATTGATTGGATCAAACCCTCTTGAATACTTAAAAGATCTGGAAAAGAAGAAAACATTCAAGATTTCTTTTTTGAATTTCTATGTTATAAAAGTAAGTGTTACTACTTCTGATTCTACTCCTTAGGTATTAGATACCAGCTGTGGTGCTCACATTTGTGTAAATGTGCATGGCCTAAACAACAATAAGACTCTGGAGAAAGGACAAGTGGACATACGTGTGGCTAATGGAGCAAAAGTTCTGCATTAGCCGTGGGAACATCTTCGTTGTCTTTACGTTCAGGGTTTTGGAGCTTAAGAACTGCTATTATGTTCCTGCTATAAACAAGAAAATCATCTCCGTTTTATGTTTGGACATGGAAGATTTTCCCTTTTCGATCAAGAACAAGTGTTATTCATTTGATCGAGATGATATTTTTTTTTTTTACATTTGTACCAAGAAGTTTAAGTCTAGTACCAAGAACAAACGTTTCTTTAGGATTGTCTTTTGGGCCATATAAACGAGAATCACATTCATAAGCTTCATATGGATGGATTTTTGAACTCATTTGACTATGAATCTTATGAGACATCTGAATCTTGTTTGCTGGAAAAAAATGACTTAAGCCCCATTTACTGGACACGGTGAGAAGGCTAGTGACTTGTTGGGCCTTATACATGCAGATGTATATGGGCTAATAAGTATGCTTGGGCCTGATCTGGGCGGATCTATAGTTTTGAAATCTAGATCCGCATATCCCGGATATCCGGATTTCGGGTATCCATAAAAAATCCTGATATCCGTCGATATCCAGATCCGATTTATTTTTATTTTTTTAAATAAAATCTGAGGAAAAAAATAATCTTTATTCTTCTCTTATTCTCTTCCGAAGCAACTACGCGGCCGCTTGCATTTCGGTCTAAATCAGAGAAGTAACAATAGTATGTTTAACAGAGCCGTCACCATCAAAGATGGAATCGGTAAACCACATGGATCATTGAAACGGTTGTGGAGGTTGAAACGGCCGGCCATCGAGTCTCACCAACTGTTTTCTGTCTTGGATCGTCACTCGCATAACCAATTACAGCCATGGCAGAAAGATGAAGTAGTGGTGGTTACAATAACAGCAAAAAGAAAACAAGAACTGAGAAAAAAAAAGTACGACGAAAGAAATATTATAAAAAGTACGACAAAAAAGTACCACTCTAATATCCAAATGATGTCGCTTGGAAAAAACATTGGTCCAATCATGGGACTCTAATTTTATCTCATTATCACGTTTATGGCTAGATGAATAAATGTATTTGGGCTTTAAAATATTATAATTAATAATAGGCCCAACATGCTATATAAGTAAATGTATAGGCCCAACCTACAATATATAGGTATGTGCTATGTATACCCCGGATCCGGCTACCAAGTTTCATTTTATGAAGTATTCGGATCCGGATCTGGACGCATCAACAATTTCACTATCCGGATCCGGATCCAACCCACCCAAATATCCTACTTTTTGGAGCGGATCGGAGCGGATCCTTGATAATAGGTCTAAGGCTACCAATGAATACAAGCGCAAGAGGAAATTACCAGTACTTCATCACATTTAATGATGATTTCAATTGATATGGCTATATGTATTTAATGAAGCATAATTCAGAATCTTTTGAAAAGTTCAAGGAGTTCGAGAATGAAGTACAAATTCAATTTGGCAAATCAATTACAAAAGCTCTTCAATCAGATCGTGGTAGAGAATATTTGAGCATATCAATTATGAAAGCTCGTCGATCAAACCACCAAATCATCTTTCTCCGTTTTTGTCCTTACTCACACGGTCTCGACAATCACTTCCCAGATGATCATCCATCCTGAAATTTTCCAGCTCAAGCACCCTTAACTAGGGAGTTCTCTCAGGACGTTTGACCGAAAAGATAAGTGCACTTTGGTAACATATAAGGCCAAATATGAAACAACCCGACCCATTTTTTTTAATTAATTAACTAATATCCCCATAAATATTAATTAATTTGTCCAATTAAAAATCATGCCAAAACAACACAACTCATATCAAGAATCCAAATTCCACCTATTATAAATTAACCAACATAAACCAATAAATTATTTAACAATTCTAACAACTTCTAATCCAAGATTCCATCATACTAAAATAATAAAATGACACCAACAAGACCATAGATCATCCTCCTCTACTCGCCATGATTCCATGATCACACTTTATTTTTACTTGCACCAAGAAAAGAGATGCATAAGTATTTCAATAAATATTTAATGAGGCGATCCTCCCATCTACGAGCTATACTCACAAGCAACTAAGATCACAAATCAACACATAATTCATGAAAATAAACAAAACCAATGACAATCATCCAATAACACAACCATCTCACGGATTTCAATTCTGGATCCATCAAAAATCCAACCTACACGTCACAACAAACAATCTCATGGTCACGCACTCACCTCGGCTTAGGGATGATTTTTGAACAAAGAACAACACCACACAACCACAGTTGTCTTTTTCCTCACGTCAACAGTAACTCAAATCACCCTATAGCCAACCACAACAATCAAAACATCATTTAAACCAAACTGTAAAATTCTGAAAAAATCAGATCAGCCTAAAATATGGGATTACGAAACGAGATCTAACCATCCAATTTCAAATCCCACTGTTGAATAGCTTCTCCTAAATGTCCTGATTTGCTAACCACAAAATTTCGTAACGTTCAGACAAAGGGTTCCCTCACGATCTCTCTTTGAATACACACCGATCCAAAACGCGTCTGAAACAGAATAGCTCACGAAAAAAGAGATAACTCTTAGAATATTGACTCAAATCAATATCCGTAAAAGGCCACAACTAGATATAAGTCTTACCTACAATCCCTGAAATTTTCGTTACCTTTGGAAATGATTGGATACGTCGAAACTCTATTCTACCAAAACGTGTCTGGTCTGTCTCTCTCTCTCCTTTCACCAAACTTCAACCGCTCACTCTTCCTCCCACAAAACTTAGCTCTCTTTCTCTTCTCTTTTTTTTTTTTGCAGTTCACGACACAGGAGAAGAAGAGGCTGGTGTCGTGATATAGAAAAAAAATAGGGTTCCTTGGTTTAATTTGATTAAACCAGTATTTTACTAACCCAAGAATTAATTAAACCACCTCTTGTCTAATTAATAAATCGACCCTTTTAGTAAACCAGCTGAAATTGAACCGACTCTACTCCAATTCCTGACATAAACGTCCATTTTTCTATTTTTTTGGAACATGAGCGTTACAATTCTCCCCCACTTACAGAGATTCGTCCTCGAATCTTACGATACAATCCATATTAAATGGCCTCAACCCACGACCGTCACAACGACCATTCAACTCTTGACCAACCCGGCCAACACAAACCCAACAATAGATCGGTTACTGTCAACAGCTGAGGTCTCCATCTAGGCACTATGCTTTAGACTCACATCATAGACTCATATCTCACAACTCACGTCATACCCCTCCACTCTTAGACACAAAGTCTTTCAAGTTAAGGGTACTCCATACCACTCCCACTCTCAGGCCACAAAGTCCGTCGAGCTATCGGTATCACACTCATACCACTCTCACTCTGAACCATACGACTTTACGAGCTCTGGGTATCATACTCATACCACTCTTACTCTGGGCCATACGATCTTACGAGCTATGGGTATCATATCTGTACCACTCACACTCTGGGCTATATAACCTTACGAGCTCTTGGTATCATATCCATACCACTCACACTCTGGGCCATATAACCTTACGAGCTTTCGGTACCAGGGAAACTATTCATTCCCTAACGAGTTTTCCAGGACCAAACCGCCCTCCGAGCAATCATGTCTATGTGTCTAGAAGCATCTCCGACTAGAACTATCTCACGTGGTTTGTATGAAACATCGCAATGTCATACTCACCACCCATATTCCCACTCTGGAACATCGTCCCAACCATGACCAATCCCTTAGGCCATCTGAAACATCCCATTCACTCAAGGTGTTTCACATACTCTACTTCCGAGTATAAGTCAATTTTTTTAATTTTTCTTAGAACTCCTTTTCAGAACTTCATGTTTCTTAATTTTCCATGACATCACAAGTCATCAACCCATAAGAACTTCATGTTTCTTATTAAAATTCCAAATTATATCAATTGTTACAATCTTAAATGAAACACATATTGAAATATCCAAAACAAAATACTCAAACTCTGAAACTGGGACCATCGATGATAAGCTCAAGCCTCCGCCTGCTTATCAAACCACTTCTTGAATCTCGCTTTCATCCTCGCCTCTGGTTCCCTAGTTTCCTCCTCAACACCATCACAATCCCATAAAACATTGATCATCGGGGTCTTCTTCCAACGATCCTGCCTAACCTTCCTCTCGAGAACCCTCACTGGCCTCGCCTCCAAAGTCATGTTGGGCTGAAGATTTATGGGAATTTTAGCCAACATGTCATCATCCTTATGCAAGCATTTTTTCAGCATCGACACATGGAAAACCTTATGAAATGCCTGCATAACCTCTGGTAACTCTAACCGATAAGCAACCGAACCAACTCGCTCAACAACCCTAAACGGACCCATATACCTCGGACTCAACTTTTTCTCAGTAATAGACTTGTTAGGACCCTTCAAAATCGCCATCTTGAGATACATTCTATCTCCCACCTCAAACTTAAGCTCTCTCATCATCTTATCAGCATAACTCTTTTACCGATCATGGGCTTCTTTCATGGTCAGCTTCAAAACCCGAATCTTCTCTGATGTCTTCTGTAAGAAACCTTTATCATAAAGACTCATCTCCCCTACTTGGGTCCAGCATAAAAGTGTACGACATGGCCTCCCATACAACGCCTCAAAAGGAGCCATCCCAATACTCGCATGGTAGCTATTATTATAAGAAAACTCCAGTAAGGGTGAAACTCCCAAACCTGAGTTCGATTCTCCCTGGAAACAAAAACACATTTGTTTGGGAAGTCTGTCAGTTGGGCCTTGGCCCAATTGGTTTACCTGGTAGCCAGAAATGCAGGCGGCCTGACTACCCCCTGGCACTTAGTCGGAAGGCATTCCAAACTCGGGATAGACAGAGTGGTAGCCCGTAAGGGCCTAACCGTTAACACGGTGGACTAGTCCACTATGTAGCACCTCGGTGCGTTCCTACCGGGGCCGACCGGATAGCCGATAGGGTTTATCAAAAAAAAAAAAAAAAAAAAAAAGAAAACTCCAGTAAGGCCAAATGATCCGCTCAATGACCACCTCAATCTAGTACACACATCCTCAACAAATCTCCAGGAGTCTGAATGGTCCACTCAGATTTTCCATCCGTTTAAGGATGATAAGCCGTACTCAGATGCACATTAATGCCCATCTCTGCCTGGAACGCCCTCTAGAACGCTAAGTGAACTTAGGATCCCGGTCTGACACTATACTCACCGGTACTCCATGACGTCTCACTACCTCATGCACATACTTCTTAGCCAAAACCTTTGCCCTATCGGTCTTCTTAATAGCCAAAAACTCCGCTGACTTTGTCAAACAATCATAAATAATCTATATAGCATCCTTGGTCCGAGAAATAGGCAACCCCACCACGAAATACATCGTAATCATATCCTATTTCCACTCAGGAAGGGGTAAACTCTGCAATAAACCACTTGGATTCCGGTGCTCAGCCTTCACTAACTAACACACATCGCAAGCTGCAACCAAACTAGCAACATCCTTCTTCATCTCGACCTAGTGATAATACCGTTTCAGATCCTGGTACATCTTAGTCGCCCCTGGATGAATCGAAAACTTGCTCGCATGAGCTCACTCAAGATCTCTCGCCTCAAATTCTCGTCTCTAGGCATGCATACTCGTCTGTGCACTAGAATCATCCCATTAGCAGAGACTTGATACTCAGAACCCTTAATCTTGGAATCCTAAATCAGTACCTCATCCAATTGCTTAGAAGATCTTCCTGATTAGCTGCTTCCAAACCCAAAGGTTCCTGCAAAGTATCACATAATCTCAACGTACTGATCTCGTATACCAATGACTCCATGTCACGCTTTTGAGCCGAAGCCACTCGCTTCCGGCTTAAAGCATCAGCAACTAAATTAGCTTTTTCGGGATGGTAAGCTATCTCCAGATCATAATCCTCCACTAACTCCATCCGTCTTTGTTGTCTCAGATTCAGCTCTGGCAGAGTAAAAACGTACTTCATGCTCTTGTGATCTGTAAACCCTGAACCTTCCCGCCATAATGATAAGATCTCCAAATCTTCAAGGCAAAAACAACAGCAGTCATCTCAAGATCATGGGTAGGATAGTTTCCCTCATGCTTCCTCAACTATCACCTTCCCATGCTTCATTAACACACATCCAAGACCCACTCTTGATGTATCTGTATACCTCGTATATGGCTCGCCTTGCTCGGGCAACGCCAAAACTGGTGTGCTCGTCAACATCCCCTTAAGCTTCGCGAAACTCTCCTCACACTCTGGAGACCACATATAGGGAACATCCTTCCCTGTCAGCTTCATCATAGCTTGAGCCATACTCGTGAAACCCTTCACGAATCTCCAATAATACCCCGCTAAGCTAAGAAAACTTCTGATCTCTGTAGCATTCCTCGGCCTTGGCCATTCCCTGATAGCCTGAATCTTCTCTGGATCAACAGACACCCCCGCCGCCGAAATAAAGTGTCCTAGGAACCCACTCTCCAGCTGCCACAAACTACACTTGCTCAACTTAGCGAATAGCTTCTGTTCCCCCAGCTTCTCCAGAATAACTCTCAGGTGTACCTCATGTTCCTCAAAACTCTTAGAATACACCAGAATGTCGTCAATAAAGATTATCACAAACTCATCAAGGTACTCCTGAAACACACCATTCATCAACCTCATAAATGTTGGTGGTGCATTAGTCAATCTAAACGGCATCACCACAAACTCGTCGTGTCCAAACAGATAATCAAGAGGTAGCGTTCTTTACAAATTGTTCTGATCTGGTGAAGATGGTGTCTCCTCCAACCGAATGGACGGCGTTTTCAGTGTATTTGGAGGAATTTCAGAGCGACAAGCAAGAATTCTCAACCTTTTCTTTATCTTTAATTTCTCGTAGTGCTAATGTAAAAGCGGATAATCTGACATGAAAAGTTCATACAAAACCGCTTCATATCACATATGTAAACAACATTCCCTAGGAATGGCTCTTTTGAGCTCTAACTAATTTCGGATGACAAAAAAAAAATCATATAAATGAAAAATAATATATTAATAACTATCATTGGTGGTATATGAATTTAATCAAAATATATAAAATAAAAGTTAAAATATATTACGCTATAACTACTTCATTAAAAGCAACAAAATTACTAATAGATAAGAGAAACACATGTACTTGACCAAACGTGTACATATTTTGTCTATGACTTTCATTAAGTTTAAGGAAAAACTGCGAAAAAACGAAAAAAAATGTAAAATTTTGTTATTAAAATTTACAAAATAACATCAATATAGAATTAAGATACTTATAAAAAAAGAAAAAAAAACGAGATATGAAAATAAGAAAATGTAAATTTTAGAAAAAACAACATATTCAAAAAAAGATGGTATAAGTTTCTAAAGCTATCCACATAAGATTTAAAACTACTAATCAGAATCAGCCATCTCAGTAATTGACATTTTTAGATTCTAATAACTTTCAATTAAGAAACTTATAAAAGACAAGAAACAAAAAACGATAGGAAAAATGTAAACTTAAAATATATATGGAAAACCAAAAAAATGTAAAATTTTGTTATTAGAATAGATATAAAATAAGCTACAAGCTTCTCAAACTCTCCACAAGGATTTAAATCGACTAATCACGATTAGCCATGTCAGTAATTAGCATTTTTAGATTCTAATAATTTTCTTTATTAAAATACTAATAGAAATATACACATATATATATATATATATATATATATATATATGAAAACAAAAAAAAATATAAACTTACAAAAACAAAAACATATGAAAAAACAAAAAATAGAAAATTTTATTATTAAAATATATAAAATATAGTATTAGAAGATTGAGATATTTATAAAGAAAAAAATATATAAGTCAAAACAAGAAAAATGTAAATGAATAAAACTAACATATGCAAAAAGAAAAAAGATAAATAAAAAATTATATATAAATTAATATCATTATTAGTCTCATTAAATTTGCCAATACCCCCTCTTAAACACAATTAGGGCTATGCATTTTGGTTTAATTTTGAGTTAAATTTTATCTGATTATTTTAATTTTAATAAAATATTAAGTCTCTAATCAAAGCCATTTTGGTTTGTTTTAATTCAGTTATGCTTAAGTTGGTTGGCTTGATTCGGTTTGTTATTTATAAGAGATTATTAATAAAATTGAAAGAATGGTAATAAATTGAAGCAAGAAAAGTAGACATTTTATTATTGAATAGAATACTCAATCAAGTGGTAGGTTAAAAAAAAAAGTTTTAAACAGATTGAAAAGATTTTGTTGTGCAAGACGATATAATTAAAAAAAAATAGCTTTTGGCAAATACGAAATAAATGAAAGATAATATTTTAATAACTATCATTAATAGTACGTACGCTACAAGAAAACAACGATTTATCTATTAATGATTTTACTTGTTTGCTACATATTTAAGTGTAAGACAAGTAATGAATATAATGTTCAAAAATAAACACTACATGAAGGACCATTTATATGTTTAAAAATTAAATGAAAATTTTGAAACTGTTATTTTTAATATTCTTATGATAAACTGTTATATAAAACTATATTTTTTACATATAAGATATAAAAAAAAAAAAACAATTTAGTGCCCCCAGTAAAATATATTGATGGATTCGCCATTGCCCCTTTATGGTGTGATAGTTTGTTAGAAAACTTAATTATGTGACTTTGCTGAGAGATTTATAGCAGATTAGAAATTAAATATGTATTTTATAAGTTTGGTATTATCGGTTTTTATTATCACTATTTTGTATAGAAAATGTACTATGGATTTATTTACAAACAGGGATCATATAATTCAATAGTCTTAATCTTTATGAACCTAGGTTCGACATTGCATTTATTTCATTTAATATATGATAGATTTAAATATTTTTAATCGCACATTTATGTAATATATTAATTATGAAAATGTAAAATTATTTTAAAAAGTAAAATTATTTATTTTGACCAAAAAATATAAAATTATTGGTTTGCCTTTTCATTAATATAAAGTAGTTTTAGTAGAAGACCATTTAAAATCTTACGCGTATTCTCATTTTTGACAATATCATTTGAAGGCAGTTCAATTCATTCGATAACTCAAAAAAAAAAAAGTAAAATTTCAAATCATACTTTAATACAAGAGAAGAATCATTAATCTAAAAATCACACATTAATTAATAATACAAGCAGAAGGGAACGATAGAGGAAAGAATCAACGGGATAGGATTTGATATGATATATTGGTAAACACAGGAAAGATTGGAGCTCTGCCATTCTCTTCTCACTTTTTCGTCTCCAAAGTATCTGCGTAACCGAAAAAAAAAAATGAAATAATTTTTGTTATGTAATCATATTATATATTTATAATGATTATTTATGCACATTGCTAAGCTAACTTTTTTACGTATCTACATCAACAATGTTATAGTACTAGGGCACTTGCATGCACATTAATCGAACATGTATTAAAAAAAACTCAACTTTTTTTGTGAACATACATTCTCTAAACAATAACTTTTTCCTATTTATATACACCTCCGAACTTGTGTCCGTTGTCTAAACGTTTTAGTGAACTAGAAAACAAAAGTATGTTATTGACAAAGGAATGATATCTTGAAACCTAAAACCATATTTAAATTCAGATTCGACACACAGATCTGAATACTTTGTGTAATGCCGTAAGATATACGTTTCTTATAGAAGATTCAAGTTCAAATTAAAATGAGAGGGAAAATAGCATACCCATTATAAGTGGAGTGAGTTTATCATATGGAACAAGTGTAGCCCGGAGGTGGATTTTTGCCACAGGTAAGGAGAAGCTGAAGAGCAACAGGGACGTAAAGATTGAGGTCAAGAGCTTTGAGCTTGAGGGTAGTGCAAAGACAAGCCGCGGCTTCGACTTCAACGAGGCCTTTAAGTAACGGACAACATTTGTTAACTGCTGGATCCCCAAGCCCTATCTTTACTAGACCACCCAACAAGTCAACGCACGCACCCAACTTCAGCGTGTCTATAGGACATGTCGCCTTCCCGCCCCCTGATGGTGGCTTTACGCTCCCTGCCGGTGGAGGACAATCCTTCCCTCCTGTGGCTGGTGGGTTTGTTCCCGGTGGTAGAATAGGACCCACAATTGGCAAAGGTGGCAATGGCAGGTTGGGACCTACCACTGGAGGTACGGGTAGCTTTGGGACGGTCACCGGAGGAACGGGTAGCTTAGGGACAGTTACCGGGGGAACGGGTAGCTCTGGGACGGTGACCGGAGGAACGGGTAGCTTGGGAACGGTCACTGGAGGAACTGGTAGCTTAGGTACGGTCACCGGAGGAACCGGTAGCTTAGGTACAGTCACTGGAGGAACGGGTAGCTTAGGTACGGTCACCGGAGGAACCGGTAGCTTGGGTACAGTCACTGGAGGAACGGGTAGCTTAGGTACAGTCACTGGAGGAACCGGTAGCTTAGGGACGGTCACCGGAGGAACTGGTAGTTTGGGAATGTGTACTGGGGGTTTAGGGGAGGGCTTTCCACCCTTCCTGGGGTTACATGAACCGCATGAGAGGGAATGTTGGGGAAAATAGATAATGCAGATGAGGAAGAGGCAGAAAGAGAGAGATGAGATTTTAGAGGAGTCCATGTTGAGTAGAGTGGATGGAGGAACTATACGAAAGAGTATATGGATATATAGAGAAAGAATGAGAAGAAGGGATCACGTGAAGATGGGGGCTACTTCTGCAATAAGAAGAGACGCCCCAAAATAAGCATGGTTGGCAATTATCATAAGAATACAAGATTTCCTTGATGACCCATCGCTATATCTCATCACATGTCCCCCAAACTTTTTTCACTCTTTTTGTAAGTGCCTCTTTGTCTTGGGTTAGTTAACTGCAATTTATAACAAAGGTAACTTCAGAGTACTGTACAATCTAATCTTGGTTTCTCCTAACCAATATATATTTTTCTTTTTTGGTCAAACCGATATATATGTACATCTAACTAGTAGAAAATGTAATGAATCAAATTAGTGAGATGGGACAATGACTAGGTCATTATGAGTTAAAATTCCGCAAGTGTTTACGTTGTTGATATCACCAATCTTAATAACATTTTAATAATGTAAATACCAATGGAAAAGCAGAATATTTAATAACATGGTTTTCGCTTTTATGTGTGTTTTAATAAGCATCTTCATGAGTCGACTGCTAAGGAACAAATAGATCTGCATCATAGTGAAAACGGTTAAGTCTATTCGAAACACTAATGTTTTGTCTTCCGAGGACCTTCGGATACTCAAGTTTGAATGCACTCACTCTCTTAAAGGGCTTAGGTTAGGGATATATAAAAGAATAAGCACATGGCCTACGACCGCCAGGATCGAGGTTTTGGCTGGTCTGCGACCATCGATTCAACCAAGTATGTTAATCTTAACTTCATATGCGAATTAGATTACAAAGGCGGAACAAACTGCATAAAGTTATATCCAATATACGTACATGAGAGGTAAAGAAGACAGATGAAAGACAGCAAGGCTGACATGTGAAATTTGGGATACTCTTTTGTTCTTTGGTGATTTGAACACGTAGTGTCATAAAAGAAAAGATCATGTGTGCGTGGACCATCTTCTTCTTTTTACTTTGTCAAAACTTCTTCTCTTTTCACCGCTCACTTCCCTTATTACCATATCTACTACAAAAGAGTCCGAACTGACCATTTAATGAACGAGTACCATTCATAAAATCCCCATATATTAGTACAGAAGTGTGCATTATCTAGACTACCATAATCTTTTATTAAACCAACTATGGTTTTCTTTTCTTTTTTTGCCCAAAAAAACAACTTAATTGGGGTTTTATTTTTGTAATTCACATGCTATATAATTATATAACATTATTTATAAAAAAAAAAGAGCTCAATTTGGTGTTTTATTTCCTTCCAAATCAAACAGTACTAAGGTTATTTAGCATGAATAGTAATTTCTGTTATTAGAGAGTATATGTATATCTCATTAGCCTTGTTCATGATACTAGGAGTATGACTGAGTACGGAACGAATACTTTTATAATTTGAGGTGTTTTTCTCGCTCCTTGTTGGTAATAGAATTTTATTTCTCGTAGTCAATTCGAGAAAGGGTAACCGGATTAATGGGTATTCGGATGATTCAACTTGTTACCCGAATCTTGATTCATGAGTTACACTTAGTTCAATATCCAACTTCTAAATCATTTGAATGCTATTATAATCATCTTTTCAAAATACTTAACAAGAACTTCAAACATTCAAATGCTAGTAAAAGAATCATATTAATACAATATACAATTCAATATAATATTCCAAGATGATTTGACGCTAAAATTTTGTTAACCATGTTTACTTTATTCAAGGTAAAGTGTTTTATTTATAATTATATGAATACTACCGGTATAATATAGAATCAATCTAAAGCAAACATCTATGACTAATTGAGAAGGACGATACTATTAACCTGATTTTAATAGCTATATAAGATATATTTTTTCCTCGGGACGGATACGAATCCGGTAACATGAATCAGTGTCCAATAAGAGCCAGTCGTCGTAAATTCCAAATGACAGATGGATGACACATTTAATTCGTAACTTTTGTCAGCTGCGATGTATGCTAATGAAACCTGAGGAGCTAGATTTTGATTTTAATGGCTTTAGATTATTCTTTAACACTCAATGGCCATTGGCCACTCGTTAATCTCTTACATTCTAAAACGAGTTATGATCCACTGCTTCTTTCTTCTTGTAGATAGATAGACCTGTTTTTTCTGAGGTTGTGATTTGTGGACATTAATCAACAACCCATATCTACGTGATAATGTCTGGAGCTATATGTAAAGGCGATATGTAGGACACATTCCTCTATTCTGACTCTAAAAGTCACGTAGTTAGGCCTGGACTCCGTTACCCGTCTTCGATTTGTTCCCAAATAGTACCCGCTTCGGAAAAAAAATACCCATGGTTTTTAAGTTGGGTAAAGGTAAAATGGGTATCAGAATTCTATTTTCAACGGTAAGAATCGGATATCATGTATCAAATTTTTATTTAAACTACCCATCTTGTTACCCGCCCCGTTACTCGAGAAAATATTCGACCTGTATATACCTGTTTTTTATTACTTGAAAAATTCACAACTATATATTCATGTAAACGATCAAACATTAGTATAATATATTAAATTTGTTACTAAAACCAAATATTTTTAGAGATTAGGGCAATCTAAATCTAAGTTCAAGCAAATGTATCCTTTCTAAATGTTTTTTATTTGTGAATAAAATTTTCAAAATTTAAATGTTTGGAGATTGTAATTTTGTGGGTAACGGTAAAAGGGTCAAATATTCAGCGGGTCAGCTAATTTTTGACTAGGTATCCGTTTTCCGGGTACTTGATTTTCGCATATCAAGTTACCCGCAAATATCAAATCGGGTAACGGGTATCCCAAATTTTGAGGATACCCCACCCATGCCCAGCCCTACAAGTAGCCACTCCATTACTACACAGTAAGATTTTTATTAATAAAAATGTGCATGGTTTCGTTTAAAAGTCATTGCTAACACTTCACTTTACAGTAATATCCAATTTCATACCTTTAAAACGTTAATCAGAATCGCCGATTGGAAGCCAGTCACTGGAATCACCTTCTGAATCCTTGCTGTGTCCAACTTGACTCTTGCTGAGCTGAACCCAGCTTGAACCGCTTGCGTTTGATGCTGGTCTTTTCAGTGTACTCCTGTTGGAACATGGCCTCTCTGAGAGATCATCGACATCTAAATCACTAAAGGATATTACCTCTTCATCTCTGAAACTCCTCCGTTGTTCTTCAGACGACTCATCACTTATCTCTCTCTGCTCAATTTTTAGAGTCTCTATCTTGTCGATGACTCCCTCCACGGTTTCTGATGCCCTACTGCTACCTTCTTCAGGAGTTTCATGACCACCAGAGCTCTTGCTTGACCCTGTCTCTTTCTTTTGCAGCTTTAGTAAAAGTTGATCCCTTGTTTCAAATACCTGTACCGCACAATATAGTTATCAAAGTTTCAGAAATGTACAAAATAATGACTTGTGAAAAAACGCAGAGCAAATAAAAAGATAAAGAACCATCCAATTTAGAAAGCTTCAAGCAAAAACATTATGCGGTTACAGTTTTTCCAGTGGCTATACTTGTTCTCATTGCAATCGGTTGAAGAGCTCATTATAGCATAGCCTGTTTTTAATCTTTAGACGTTTACAAATTTAATCTATTGGATTGATACTGACATTTCAGCAGGATGTATGTCCAGTATAGATTCTTACCTTGCAGGTTGCTAAGAGTTCAAAATCATGTCCATTCAGTCTCGGCATCAGCAAAATAAAATAAATCAGCCAGAAGTGTTCATCATCCACGTAACTGCTAACTTGATTCTTCACAGCTACAAGGCCAGGAACCAGATGTTCAATGGCTGATGCATGAGCCCTTTGAGCCTCAGACAGTTCAAATTCTGTAATGTGGACATGAAAAGTTAGAGAAAAACTTCAGCATAATTCAGTAGGCAAAATTGATGTAAACCACCAATGTTTATTTCCAGCTTCGACAACATTTTCAAGCTAACAAAGCCTATATACAAGGTTGTACAGAATGAAGATATAATTTGAAATAAAAAGATTTACAGTGGCATATGGGTTGAACTATATATATCCCAAGAAGAGACTGCAGAATCCGTCAGGCCTAATCATAATCCCTAGAGATCCATCTAAAGAACAGGGACTTGTAAAAACAAATCAACTGCAGAATCCGTCAGGCCTAATCATAATCCCTAGAGATCCATCTAAAAAACAGGGACTTGTAAAAAACAAATCAACTGCAGAAAAAATCAATCTTGTCCAAACAGGTCTAGGATAAAACACATCAAGAGTGAAAGACTGAAGCACAATCATGTTTCGCGACTGAAGAAGTCAAGTATATTTCCAAGCACAATCATGTTTATTCCTGCAAATTCTTTGACAATATTTGCAAGCTATCAAAAATATGATAAACAGAGAGTAATGGGAACCCTGAGATCCTAAAGACCTGGGCTTGAAGAAATATATCCCAATAGGAGACGGCTGGACCGGCCTAACCTAATCTGCACTAGGAAATCCCTCTAAAGAACACCAGAGGCTACAACCAATCAACTGTAGAAACAATCAATCTTTTCCTAATAAAACACGGTAAGAAATCACAATGAACTTTAGCATAATTCACTAAATAAAACTATCCTCAACGCTGTTTGGATCAAGAGTGATTAATAGGGAAAATAGATAGACACCACAATGTAATTTCCTCTAAGTACTTCGACATTCGACAATATTTCCAAGTTAACCAAGCTTATATACTGTATTGTAGGGAACAAAGATATGCTATTGGAAATAAAAAAACCAACAAAGATCTAAGCTATGAGACAAAAGTGGCAGATAGAAATGTGATCAACAGAGAGTAATGGGAAGCTAGAGATCCTAAAGATCCGAGCTTGAAGAAATATATCCCAAGAGGAGATTGCTGGACCGGTCAGCCTAATCTGAAACCCTAGGAAATCTCTCTATAAAACACCAGAGGCTACAACCAATTAACTGTAGAAACACTCAATCTAATCCTAATAAAAAACGGTAAGAAATCATAACTAAACTTCAGCATAATTCACTAAATAAAACTATCCTCAAAGTTGCTTGGATCAAGAGCGATTAATAGTGAAAATAGATAGAAACGACCAATGTAATTTCCTCTAGGTGCTTCGACAATACATCCAAACTAACCAAGCCTAGATACCGGGTTGTATAGAACGAAGATATGCTATTGGAAAAAAAAAACAAAAAAAAAACAACAAAGTTTTAAGCTCTAAAACAAAATGGGATATGGAAAATGTGATCTACAGAGCGGTAATGGGATTATGGGAAGCTTGAGATCCTAAAGATCCGGGTTTGAAAGAAATATATCCCAAGAGGAGACTTCTGGACAGGTCAAGCTTAATCTGTAACCCTAGTGAACCCTCTAGAAAGCCAATCAGTTCTAGAAACAATCAATCTTGTCCAAAAGGCCTAGACCAAAACACATCAAGAGTGAAAGACTGAAGCACAATCCTGTTTGGCCACTGAAAAAACAGTCAACTATATATCCGAAAAGGAGACTTGTAAACAGGTCAAGCTTAATCTGGAACCCTAGTCCTCTACAGAGCCAAACAACTGTAGAAACAATCAATCTTTTTCAAATAAAACCTATTTTAGTAACAACTATGTTTAGCTACTGAAAAAAGTCAACCATATTAATGCAGAGCTTAAAACTATTGAGAATCGAGCGTTAAGTAAACATAATTCCAACTTGTTATTATCCTTATATCCACTAAACTTGCAAGCAATGCAGAAACCACAACACAATCAGTTTTTCATTGGGCATTACCAGTATTAAGTGACAATGGAAAATCAGTCCAACAACCAGGTCTCGTCGCGATTTTAATCGCAAAATCGACAACTTCATCAGAAATCCCAGGAACTTGATCCAATCCCTCATCCTTCAACACAGATCTTCTACTAGTTTCTCTATCTCTTAGATTACTAGGAAATTGGAGTAAATTAGATGCGAAATTGGAGAAATTTCCACGAATCTCGGCTAGATCGTTGCGGATCCCGGTAAGTCCTAGCTGAGTTGGTGAGTCAGAGGAAAGTCGGCGTTCGTCTACAGGAGGAGCAGACGGTGGAGAAGGAGGCGGTGCGAGGAAAGCTGCAACGCCACGGAGCAAGGAAGATAAATCTTCTTTGACACCGCCATGAGTGGTGGGAGAGGAAGGATCGTGATCGTGATCATCATCGCCGCGAGATTTGAAGAGCCAAGACATGATTTACGAGTGAGAGGTTGAATTTTTGGGGTTTTCGGGTTTTTTTTTGCAATTTCAAAACAAATAAAGATTTTTGGGGTTACGAAAAGAGAGAGACCAAACGGTGCGCTTTGGAAGGTATCGTCTCGAAAGTTCCTTCTTGAATCGGAATTTATTTGGCATAAACTATGCCTTCAAATTTGTCCAAAAAAAAAAAAAAAAAAACACTATGCCTTCAAAACAAAACCCTTAACCGAATAACTGACCGAACTGAACTGTATTCAAACCGACATTTTTAAAATAACTGAATAGTTAGTAAAATCTCAATATAAACTAACCAAAACCGAACTAATCCGATAAGCAAACGGTTAATCCAAATATCTAAAAACCTAGAAGATACCCAAAACTATAATTATAAACTCAAAATATTAATTATTTTTAAAATCAAAACAATCAAGTACTTTAAATAAACAACTTATCCAAATGTTGTTAGTTATATTTTTCAAACTTAAATACTCTCTTACAAAATTGAACCAAAATTTTATTTTCTGTTTTGTATTTTCTTTGTATATATTTTTCGGTTAATTTTGATTAGTTTCGGTTAATTTTGGTTATTTTAGGTAAAAAACCGAACCAAACCAAACTTGATAAAATTTTGGTTAGTTATGGTTATCTATTCAAACATCCCAACCGAATCGAACCGATCCGAACCGAAATTCCTAAAATGTATTAATGGTTATTATATTACCATATCTGAACTAACGGAAACCGAGCGAAACCGAGCGCAACCAAACCAAAACCGAACGGTTAACTGAATGCCCAAACCTAGTCATAATTGTGGTTAGTTTTTAAATGTTAAATTTATTCATAAGAAGTTAATTATATATCCTATATACATAAAAGATACAAAGAGAGAAAGGGAGAAAAAAAAGTCGTCTCTCAAACCACATATGGAGGCTTCCATAGTTCAATCGTCGGTTAGATTACAATTGACATGTTTTATTTTAAAAATTGTGTAGTGATGAACTGATGATCCACTTTTGGATCAAATTTTTATCGATGTTTTAAATATTTGTTGTTTCTTTTTCCTAGATCGATCTACAACTTTTCACTTCTACGATGCAGTTGCGCTTGTGCGACTTTTTCAGTTTTCTCTACGAGGTCAAAATCAGATTTTGTCGAATTATGATTATTTTTTGCTTTTTTCAATCAGACCTTATTTGAATATATCTCGATGTTACCAATATCTGCATCTACTATACATTTTTGCAACACTTTTAAGGGATTCTAATCGGGTCAGATTTTGATTCAATTTTGACCCGGAAATCTCAATCGGATCTTTCCTTAAATTTTGGCAAAATTTAAAAATGAAATTAATTAATAAAATCTAAAATATATAAAATATTTTCTCAATTAATTACTATATCTAAACTCTTTATTTATGGTATATTATTTATGACTTTTATAGATAAGGAAATCAAATATGATGATTTAATGCTAATATAACAAATTTGAGCTAATTTCTTAAAACCTCTCTACCTAATTTATACATAAATATATGATTCTCATTTCACTTTTATTTGATCTTATATTTATATTATTTGAATTATTATAAAATATATGTAGTTAATAAAACCTTAGATTTTTTCCTGCATATGCTATGATTCAAATTTTTTGAAACGGACATATATTACCTAATCAATGAAGAAAAAAAGTACGTGTGTAATATATATTAACATTTTTGAAGAACAAATTTGCGTATTTAATTAGGTCGTTTTTTTTTCTGACCCGGAATTGAATCATTTAGATCTTTCCTTAATTTCTACAATTATCCAAAGCGGGACCATGTACCACGGGTGAAATCCTAAAATTAACAAATCAAAATACAATTATTTAGTATTTTAAGATAAAATTATAAATTGTTTTTACGGGTTGGTCCAAAAACACACTAATTTAAAAATATATATATATTATGGAAACCATTTGAAAGCAAACTTTTAAATTGACTCGAATTATATGTCTTTTAAATAAAAGTGTTATTAAAAAAATAACAAAATGATGTTTAATTTCACAAGACGGGAATATATAGTGAGACGGGTTTGGGTCGATATTAATACGGACAATATACCACGGGTAAAATCCTAGAATTAACAAATCAAAATACAATTATACAATCTTAAACACTAAACTAAACAAATACAACTTAAAATTTTTATTTTTTAGTTACAACGCATGTGATCCGCGGTATACAACAAATAATATTATAAACAACAAATTCATCAGTTTACAAAATGATTTAAAAAATCAAATAATTAATCCGCGGTGTACCGCGGGTCATATCCTAGTATAACATATAATTTCAAAACCTCAAGAGGGAAGTCCATCAAATTAGAGTTAGTAAACATATATTTTAATTTTAGAAGTACCAAATACCAAAGTATAAATTTGATATTTGAACCAAAACAATTAAAGTTAGTATAAACGTTAATTGGCAAACAAATAATAGGAAAAATAAGGGAATCAAAATTTTCAATATATATTTTATGTGTTTGAATCTAATCGATTTATGGACACGTATCATGGTCTCGTAAATTATAATTTTTCAACACATGAAATATATATAGTGAAACGAGTTTATCACTATATAACACGACAAAGAGAAGTTCTAAGAATAAACTCAAGTGTGATATACAAAATAATATTGTAAATGTAAATGGAACTTTGAGATTGATCTACAGCAAGTCTGCTACACTCATCACAAACGTAATGTGATTATACACATCCATGTTGGCCGCAAAAACTAGGGATCTTGTATCATCTGGATCAACAGACAAAATCATATTGCAGTAGTCAGCAGCATCACGTGCAAGACTAAGTTGGTCATCGGTCTCATCGACATCACCTTTTCCTATCGACCACTCTGCCTTCATTAGCCCCTCGACTACAGAATCCTTATAGTTCTCCATACAACTCTTGAAACATGGCTTCTTCGGAGAACCAATGAGAAACTGCGTATGCTCTGCCTTTTCCATGGCTATAGAAAGGGCGGCCTTAGCCAACTCCAATGCAGTCGATGCAGAGTTTGTGCGGTGATCTAACGTTAGGGATTCGATACATGCTTCTTCTAGGGACGAGAATGACGCGGTGCCTTTACAAGCCTTTGATATCAGCAATGATGGATATGGACATGTCTTTGGTTTCGTTGATAAATGGCTAGCAATGTTGGACTTTGCATTGGTAGATGGCCACCGCGAGAGGAGAAGAAAGGTTACTATATGGATTGATATGTATGCATGAGAAGCGTAAACACAAGCCATTGAATGTTCAACAAGGCTTTTTTTTTGGTTAGAGGTTTTAATAAGAAATACTTGATTGAAGATTGTACATATATTAACTTTTGATGTTGTCAATGGTTTAAATTGTCCATTTTTTATTTCCACAAATTTTAAGCATGAAATGTTATTTATAGGTTTGGAATGAACGATAGAGGATAAAAACTCGTGAACGCTAATAATAAGAGCGAGTGTATGGAAAAGAGAGAGAACAAAAAATCAGTGTGATTCCTTCATTTTTTTCTGTCGTTGATTCAATGTCTTAAATTGAAAATACTGATAGTCTTAAAGATAAAAAGTTTTTTTTTTTTTTTTTTTTTTTTGGTATGGGATAGGAGACAATGTCTCCTATGATTTATTCCAAAACATTAAAAAAAATTACAAACGGACGTTTCTTGGGAACGCAGTCCCATTCGTATCATCCAACAAAAACCGGAAGAACTACCTCCGGACAAACATTACACCAATGAAAACCAAGCGGTAAAGTAAACGCATAGTTAGCTAACCCGTCCGCGAGACGGTTAGCCTCTCTATACACGAATGTCACCCGGACTATCCAGTCCCTTGAGATAAAGCCATGGCACATACGTACCAGGAACGCCAATGGATGAGTCACCTCAATCCCTGACTGTAAGTATCCAACCACCAAAGCCGAATCCGACTCCAACACAACCCGTCTATACCCTTTTTCCCATGCCACATAGAGACCATAATACACACCCCATAACTCCGCCAACATTGTCGAGCATACTCCAATGTTAAGCACAAAACCACTCAGCCAGCACCCCTCCGTATTCCGGACCACGCCGCCCGCCGTTGCCTGACTCGGATTCCCGTGTGAGGCTCCGTCCGTGTTCACTTTAATCCACCCCAACGCTGGTTTATGCCACGAAATTTGTTCCACTCCCCGTGATATACTCTGGTAACTTCCCCTCTCTTCGACATGAGCACTCACCACTTCCGCAGCCGCCTTCTTGATAAACCCGACCCGATCCCTCCACAAGCCATGCTCACCAAACACAGTCTTGCACCGCCACTTCCATCCCCACCAGCTCGCCATTGCAAATAAAGTGACCCAATGTTCTCTACTTGGATCAGCCTTTGCTAACAAGTTCGTGAACAACCATTCCAAGAGCGTGTTGCCAAAGAACTCTCCGATCTCAGCCCGAGGAATCAAACGCAGCCAAATCCCAGCCATTGCGGGGCAATCCCGCAACACATGAATAATTGATTCATTCGCTCCTCTACAAACTTGACAAATCTCTGATTCCCCCATCCGACGTCGCACTCTCTCCATATTAGTTAAAATCACTTGGTGTCCAACTAGCCATAGAAAGAGTCTCACTCTCTCCGGAGCCATTATTCTCCAGATTCTGTCAAAGAATCGAGCCATACAAGGACCCTCTATCCCATCATCGCAAAGAAGTGAATAAGCAGACCGCATACTAAACGCTCTGTTCTCAGTTGTTAACCATGATACCCGGTCTGCCAGCCCCGGAACACCCTTAATGACCACCGCGTACAGACGCCGGCTTATAGA